TACTAAAATTGTTTATACTTGTGATGAAGGTTGGAAGTCACTTCTTTATATATTTCTTTTTTCTTTATTATATTCTTACTTTTCTTTTTTTTCATTCTATTCTTTGTTTTTTCTTTTCCTTTGCACTTTTTTCCTTCCTTCCTTCCTTCCTTCCTTCCTTCCTTCCTTCCTTCCTTCCTTCCTTCCTTCCTTCCTTCCTTCCTTCCTGTTTGTATTAGTTTTTACTACTGAAATTATAATATTTAATAAAATTATTTTTAAAAGAAGAAATAGTCATAATACAACAACAGGAAGAATTATGGATTAAATCCATAAAAATTACTCCAAGCTACAATTTAAAAGAAAATTGGTACAAAATGTACACAAGAAGTTAGTGGGTAAGTTTTGACCCTCATCTAGTCCATTATTGTTGTGAAGTACTGATTCGGTATTTCTCAACAACGACAAAACAAACAAAAAACAAAAAGGGAGAGGTAGAACTTTGCAGTATCACGTGGTATAAATGCTGTGGGGATGAGCAGAAATCTCAAATTCTCATCTTCTGCAAATGCCCACCAGGTATGTGTGGTACGATCACAAACGCTTCTGAGATGTCTGAGAAAATCAATAGGAACATACCATTCCTGTCTTTTTCCTGCCAAACATCATTTCACAGTGTGGCCAAAATAGTTTCAGTGCCAGAAACAAACCTAAAAGTTATTAAAATGTTACTTTCATAACCATTCTAATATGAATAAAATAATTGTAATATTTTATCTGATCAATCTCTACTTGTTCAAGTATGTTATCCAGGAAGAGTTAATGGTTTAATCAAATGTATATAGCAGAAAATTCACTGAGGTAGGGGAGTTACTGCAATGAATTTTCAAAATGTCCCTTTCAAAGGTTCCAGCAAAAGTTTTGTTTTTTTCCTTTTAATTATCTTTACAGGTTTTGTTCAGGGTTTTTTTTTTTTCTGTTTTCTTAAGAGTTTTCATATTTTTATTTTTGGTCTAAAATGTGTTTGTTTTTTGGTAACCAATGGTTAAGGGCTTTAAAAATATTAAACATATTTCTTATCATTTATGATAAGACTAATCCAACCATTGTTTATCATGGTTTTCCGGCACCAAAGAGAATGCTTAGCAATGGATTGGCTGTTAAATTCATTACACTTAATTATAAGTGTAAAGTGATGGAAGGACACTTATATATCCGATAGATGCTTGCCCCACTATTGCTCCATTTCATTAAATTTCATAAATTTGTACATGGGGTTTGGAAAGAATCTTATGATTTTAAGATGCAAATATGATTTTGAATTACATACTAACAATCTGGAATTTATCAATATATGAAGACCTATGGTTTAATGGAAAGACAGCAGCACTCCAGATTTACAGTATTAGGCTGATGACATATGTTCACTCTTCAAGTATGAAATGGATTTTTACTGATGCAATGGAAAGACAGATCCATATTATTACACATGGTCAAACTTTAATGCTCCCTCTAATAAAAAGGGGATGGACAAAATAAAAATTAAACTCAAGCACACCTTTTTTAATTTAACGAAATACAGTTGATTCTCATTATGTGCAATAGTTGTGCTCTATAAAATCGCTGCAAACACTGAATTAGTGAATACTGAACCTCAGCTGGGAACGTGTCAGGCAACTCAAATTTTTTGCTACTCTGCACATGTCCATGAATGACTATAAAAGCTGCACAAGTATTGATTTTGGGGCTACAAATAAATTTTAGCGAGTAGGCAAATGTGCAAATATGGAATCCATGAATAATGAGGATCAACTGTATCTCATTAAAGCACCTTAGCTAAGGACAGTAGAATCTGCATTTTGGGGACTATGTTCAAATACATGTTTATTTGACAGAAGAATGCTTATGACATGCACTGATTTTCTTTTCCCTCCAACTTGAGTTTTATTTATTGTACCAGTGGAAAAGTACATGCAAAAATAAAAGTTTACATGTATACCAGTATGCATATGCTCTTTCCTCACATATATTACAGTTAATACAGTTTAGGCACTTTAGAAATATGAAATGCCATATATATTCCCATGTCTGGGAAGAGGTGAAAGGACTAATCTCTAGGCAAGACAAAGCAGGAGGAGAGCTGGTACTAGCCTCTGATCATGGAATGAATCAATGATGTTATGTCCTTTCTTTTATCTACAAGCATGATGGGTAGAAAGCTCAACCATTTCATAAGTAAATTTCCTTAGCTGAAGAGTAATGTTATGGTTAATACCAACTCAGTTTACCTTTCCTCTTTAAAACTGCATACCTGATAAATTGGTGGCCTGTGAAGGATTCAGATGCAACCACTGATGGGCATCTGGATCAAGAGAAATGTCAGCTTGCATGCAGATATCATTATTTTCTTCACATGTTTGCCAAGGAGCCAAACTCGTGCCCATTTCATTGCTGTATCCAATAGAAGTATCAGTGCTAATACTTTCATCTATATAAAAAGTGATATACAAAACAGGATGTGAAAAGGTGACTGAAGTAATTCAAACTTAAAAAGTTACTACATGCATCTAGTGACATCACTACATTCTTTTTCACCAATAATTTCAATAGTGATTTTACTGAAAAACTCACGCTTTTCTTTCTCTCTCTGATTTCCATGTGACTGCTGCATATCTGTCTTGAGATTTAATTCAGATGGAGTGTTGCCTGCCTGCATGATTTTGTGAAAAAATGTGTATTTTACATGTCAATATAATAATTGCAATATAGCTTCATAATTTTTCTCCTTCAAAGCACTGATCAATTCCACACATTATTGCTGCATTAACTTCACAACATGGAGTCCTTGGAGTTCTCTGAGCTTGGTTGTTTTCTTGCAAATGTTTCATTACTCGGCTAGGTAACCTCTTCAATGCTAGAATGGAATGGGATTTGCTCTCTGTTTATATAAAGTGGCATGTCCTGCCAGTGTTGGTGGGGGAGTGGGTTTTGTTTTATTTTTTCCTTCTGGTAGTTCCTTGATTAGGGTACTGTTTACTGCTGATTGTACGTCTGGTGATAATCTTGGTGTTATCAAATACCAACACTGGCAGGGCAGGGCACTGTATATAAACAGAGAGCAAACCCCACTCCATTCTAGCACTGAAAAGGTTACCTAGCTGGGTAATGAAACGTTTGCAAGAAAACAACCAACCCCAGGGATTCCGCAGTTCAACCGTGAGCTACACATATTCTCTTCTATTGGTAACTTCACAATATTAGTAATTCCTTAATTATTTCCTTTCATTCATTTGTTCTATGGTCAGAGTTGAAAAGGACAGTAAAACTTGTTAAAATAATTAACCATGGATGAAAAAAAGGAATGAAGAAAAGGATACGTGAACCTCTGTATATATATAAACAGACAATTGATAGCACTATGTTAACTGATGTAGGTGTCAAGTGCTATTCTTGTCAGACCCAACATTATCTAATTGTGATTGCAATGACACAGAATTTCAAAACTTTCATATTCATTTCATAGGACTGATCTCTCAATAGGAAAAGCATGATTTCTGATAGGGGCCAGTCCAAGTATCTGATGGAGGGGCTCTCAGCTTGATATGGCAGTCTGATACTGGACCATTAAAGAGCTAAGTATTTGGTTCATACAGCCTTTTACCTAGCCAGACAAGCATTCAGTTTTAAAATTGCAAACTATGTCTTCAACAGTGATTGAGGGTAGATATCAATACATTCCTGTTCTTCCCTTTTCGGACTGATCATCTGCCCTATAATCTTTTACATTGTCCATAATATTTATCAGTCTGTGAGAAATATATTGAAAAGATATGGGATATCTCTCAGTTCAGATAAAGAAAAACAATCTTCTTTCATCTGAATTTAACACACCACAGGATGTAACCCTACTTGTACTAACTGCAGAAAAGTTTATCTAAATAAATGGAAGTTAAACAGTAGTAGGTATGGGGCCACTGTTGTATTAAGGTCTGTTTTAATTGTACTTTAAATATTGATAATGTTAATGTATGTTGTGGCCTATGGCTATTCAGTACATATTTAACAAATTAAAGTTGAAACATAATAGTTCTTCTATAACAGAGTATGTTCCATATACTATGACAAGAAGAAACCCTTACATACAAAAAAAATCATTCTATATTTCTCTTACAGTTACGCATTTTTTTCACAGCATGCTTCCGTTCTTCAGATTGTCCTC